ACTAAGAAATAATTTGTTAAAATATAGTGTTTTAACTAAAATTTAGTAATAAATTTTTTTTCAAAGTTTATTTATTAGATTTTAGAAAACTAAATAAATATAACAAAAAATATAATTTTATACCTTTTTGCACCAAATCATAATATTATACATAATAATCATAAAAGATAGAAATATTAATAAACTAATCACTTGAATATTGAGCATAGTTAATGATTTTGAATTAATTTAATTTTAATATAATATAGTAGTAATAAAACTAGATTTAAATTAATATATATTTAATTATTAGTCATTTTTCAATTTTTCAATTTTTATTCTCTAGTTTATATATTTGTTACTTACTATTTGCTTTATATATTAGTAACTTTTAATAACAATGCAATATAAACTACTTATATATAGTTATAGTTACAATTGTTAATTATAACTATAATTACTTCTAAGGAAAATAAAAAAAATCAAATATTTTTATTGGCTATAATTTTATGATAACAATTACTTTATATAAATCATATACACTACATATATAAATTAAGTTCGTATCACAAAAATATTGATATCATTAACTTTTAACTTTAATAACTTTTTTATTACATAAGAAAAAACAACAAATTTAGTATCAAATTAAATATCAGACTAACTAATTTCTAAGACAATTGATAAAATTTAATAAATTATTAAGATATCTATAAAAATAGCTCAAGAAGTAAGAAATGGTAAAAATATTAATTACAAAAAGTATTTTCGTGAAAACAAAACTTAAAAAATTATTAACAAAATAAGTGCATTAAATTGGTATAAACGATGTTAATAGCGAGTATTTCCTCCGCTGGCATCGATGACAGCTTGTAATCTTCTGGGAACACTTTGGATCAGTTTTTCGGTGACTTCTTGTGGTATATTTTTCCAAACATTAAATAGTGATTCTTTAAACACAGAAAAACTTTTTCTTTCGCTTTTTTGAACACGTCTGTCCAATTCATCCCATAAATGCTCAATAATATTGAGGTCCGGGCTCTTTGGTGGCCACTCAAGTGTCTCAATATGGTTGTCAGACAACCATTTCTTAGCCAATTTCGATGTGTGTTTCGGATCGTTGTCGGCTTGAAATACAAAATCGTTGTTAATTTGGAGATCTCTTGCGCTCTGAATCAAATGTGGGGTCAAAATATCATTAAAGTAAACATAGCGATCCATAGTTGATGGTATTTCCACCAAATGGCCGACTCCCTGGCCTGTCATACATCCCCACACCATCACTGATTTTGAGTGCTTTACTGTTGGGCATATATTTTCGGCATTTAAACTTTCGCCTCTCTTTTTCCACACTCTTTGGCGACGTTTTGTGTTAATTATCTCAAATTTAGACTCATCTGACCACAAAACCTTCTTCCAGAATGACATCGGCATCCGGATGTACTTTCGTGCAAAGTCTAACCTTTTTCTCTGATTTGTTAGGCTTATCATTGGACGTCTTCTAGCAATACCACTGTAATAACCTATTTCACGGATCCGGTGTCTAATGGTGTTGTTATGACACAAAATATTTCGGTCGGCCAACTCTTCCCTTATCTCATCGGTGGTTAACTTCTTATTTTTTGCTACTATTCTACTTAAAATCCGATCTTGTATTGCATTTGTACACCTTTTTCGACCACTTCTTGTGAGATTTTTAACTGTCCCGTACTTTTGGACTTTTAGTACAATCGATCGGACAGTATTATCTGTTGTTGCAAACACATCTGCTATCTTTGCGTATGACTTTCCGGTGCTGACTCTCATATCATACATTTGTTGACGAATTTTATCTGAAAACTCTTGGATTTTAACCATTTTAATGATAATCACTGCATTTACTACTCATTTACATGTATTCAAATCAATAACAATGCATTGGAATCAATTGGTCCCAACAATGTGTCTGAAATCACGCGCGTTTCAAAAACACGAAAATAATTTTTGTACGCAAATTATTGACACCTATAACTTCACCTTGATATATTTGGTTATTTAAATATTAGTTTTTACCATCTAGTATATCAATTTAATTGTGAGTTATTACTCTCTAGTTTGATACTAAATTTGTTGATTTTTCTTATGTAATAAAAAAGTTATTGAAGTTTAAAGTTAATGATATCAATATTTTTGCTATACGAAATTAGATAATGTTTGTACTGTAAATAATAATTTACAAATAGTTAAAAATTATAATAATCTAAATAAATATTGTTGTATTTAATAATAAATATATTATTAACACACGAGTTTTTTTCAAAAAATAAATTACTAATTATACTAATTAAATATACTATAGTTTTTATAATAGTATATATATAGTTATTGTTATGATATTTTTAATAAAAAATTTTAGGTTAAGTGTTACGATTTTTATAAACTAATGTTTATTAATTTAATTTTAATATGAATTTTTTGTTTATAAATTGTTTATTTATTTTTATTTTTAAAAACATGATTTTATTACAATAGTTTTGCTTAAAATTAGTTGTCAAAAATGAATTCAATTTTTATTCAATAGTTAGTCTCCAACTAATAATAATAATAATATACAACTGGTTAATAGGTTAGGACATCAACTTTAACCATAGTATGGCTAAAAACAACGCCCAACCCTAACAATATATATATATTGAAAAAAATTATTGAAAACTTGAGGGAAACAATTTTTAAAAAATTGCCCATGTTAGTTTTATAGATAATTGATGGTTAAGATTTAGATACTAGTAAAATAAATTCTAGATTTGAAAAAATTTTACCATTTTTTATGATACTAACAATTGATTATTATATATTGGTTTATATACAATAAAATGTATAATAAATCAAAATTAAAAATAATAACAATTAATGGATGTTAAAATGTGTGTTAATTTATTATAAATAATATATAAACTAATAAATTATACTGTGGTCTTATATTATGTAATAATACATTACAAAAAATAGTTATAATAAATAAATTCTTATTTTTTATTTAATAAAATTATTTTACAATTACTTTGTAAAATATTTTAATATATTTTCAAATTGTTTAAACATCACTAAAGTGCTTCCATTGTCACCAATCATATAATATAAAGTTAACTAAATTATTATAATTAAATTATTATAACTAATTTATTATAACTTATTTATTATAATTAAATTATTATAACGAAATTATACTGTATATATTTATGCATCTCTATATACCAGTGATTAACTGATGTGTTATAATGATAACTTTGTGATACATATATAACATAACTAATTTAACAGATATTTAATAGTATTTTCATAATTTATAACAAACAATGAGTAAGTTAAACAAACACTTACTCATTTAATATGTACAGTTTATTTGTACAATTTTGTTTTATAAATTTAATGTTAATCACTGCTATATACAGTTTACTTTACAAGCATTTTATCGGTTAACTAATAGACTAAACCGTCACATATAATACAAGTATATTAAAAATCAATTTATTATTTTAATAAAAAAATTTGTAGTATCATTTATTTTCTTTAAAAAATTTTAGATTATAAATATTAATATTTGTAATAATTTTTATTATTATAATCAAGTTTATTAATTTAATTAAAATAATATATAATTACTTAATATAATATAACTATAATGATATTATTTTTTTAGTTTTTAAAAGTTTTAATAATTAAATTTGTTACGTAATAAACAATAATATATATAATATACTCTATATTATATAAATAAAGTTATTATTTTTAATATATATATATATATTATAATAATACAATATGAAACTATACATAATTAAATTTTTATAAATATAATAGTAAAATAAACATTTTATTTTTGAATTAATTATTATTATATTTTGTTTGTTTCATTTTTGTTGTTGGTGTAAATATATTTTACTGCAATAGTCATAGGTATTAAAAAAATCGCCATTTTTTCTAAAAACTATATTTAAATAAAATTGTTTTAAAAAATAATTAATTAGTTAATTAAAATAAATCTTTATTTTAAAACAAATAATAATAATCAATTAGTTAAATTAGTTAATTAAATATATATGTAAATTGTAATATTTTAAAAAAAAATTAAAATTAAGAAATAATTTGTTTTTTTCAAAATTTATTTATTAGATTTTAGAAAACTAAATAAATATAACAAAAAATAATTTTATACCTTTTTGCACCAAATCATAATTTTATACATAATAATCATAAAAGATATAGATATTAATAAACTAAGCACTTGAATATTGAGCATAGTTTATGTTATTTTTGTTGATTAATTTAATTTTAATATAATATAGTATTAAAATTAGATTTAAATTATTATATATTTAATTATTATTTTATTCTTCAATTTTTACTCTCTAGTTTATTTATAATAAAAACTATTTGGTTTATATATGGGTAACATTTATTAACAATGCATATACACTACTTGTATATATGATAGTTATAGTTATAATTGTTAATTATAACTATAATTACTTCTAAGGAAAATAAAAAATAATTTCTAATATTTTTATTGACTATATTTTTATGATAACAATGACTTTATATAAATCATTAAAAATGAATTTATGATAATTTACAAATAGTCAAAAAATTATTAGTATCATTTATTTTCTTTAAAAAATTTTAGATTTTTAATATTAATATTTGTAATAATTTTTATTATTATAATTAAGTTTAGTAATTCAATTAAAATAATATATAATTACTTAATATAATATAACTATAATGATATTATTTTTTTTAGTTTTTAAAAATATATATAATATACATAAATAGATTTGTGAAATTTTTAAATATAATTTTGATGAGAAAATTATTATTGTATATACAATGCCATTCTCATCAAAATTATATTTAAAAATTTCACAAATCTATAAACATTCACATTATATTGAATTACTTAAATAAATACACAATAACTGCATATCTCGAACCCATCGCACCCTAACCTCACTAATGGTAAACACACGGCTCTGAGATATATCTCAGTTGACCGCCAGTGCTGATGAAGGAAAGTAGTATATCTTTCCGAAACACGTGTCCAATATATCGCTAGTTATTGCGGTTAACTAAGTTTGGCCAACAAGTAAGTGATTAAATCACATAAATTTATTAAAAATATATTTAATATTAAGTTATTAATAATATTCAAATTTAAAAAAATAATTAATAATGAATATTAAGTAAATTCTGTTTAATCTTTTTAACATATTATCAAATTTTAAATTAATTAAATATATTCAGATAATTAGTTTACTAGTTATTTAATTTGTATTTTTTACAATTAATTATAAAAACATTGCTTAATATGTGAACAAGTGATTAGTAGGTATTATATATATAAAAAAATAATTATAAATAATATAACTTTAAAAGTAAACATTTTTAATATAAACATTTAGTAGTGTAAATAAAATTTTTAATTTTATTATGAACTAATTATTAACTCAATATTGTAAACATGTTTACAATATTTTAAGAAATTTTTAACAAAAATAATACTGTTATTGTATTTATTAATTATTTTTAGAAATTATAAGCTTTATTTTTATATATAAGATTTTGTTTTTAAATGAAAATTAAATTTATATAAACATATTTTTAATTTAAATAAAAAATCTACTATATTAACTTTAAATTTTTCTAAATAAAATTATTTATTTATTAGGTTTTATATACACTGAAATAGACGATTGCATTTTTCGCTACAACAAGTATTGCCATCCAAACAAAATACCCCAGGACTATTGCATTCTAAATTAAAATAAAATAAATAAATAAAATTAAAGTAATTTAAAAAAAATTAAAATAAATAAGTATTTTTTTAATTTATTTAATAATTTAGTTATTAATTATGCTTATTTTCAATTATAATAAATTAATTAAGAAATTCAATAATTAATATAAGAATAATTATATATTATTTTAATTATTTAATATTATAAAAATGTAATTGAAAAAAATAATCAAAGTTAATTTAATAAATAAATTTTAATTTAATTAATAATAAATAAATAAAATTAATTAATTACTTCCATGCACCATTACGTAATTGAGTTGCATAATGATAAACATCAATGCAATCAATACAAACATCGAAACCAATTTAGTATTATTAAACATATTGTTTTTAATTTAAATATTATTATTTTTAAAAATAAAATTCAATAATTTAATGATTATATGAATTGTCAATGTGTTTGTGCTTATATATACCTATAAAAAGTAATTAATTTATTCAAATAAAATAAATAATTATTATTATTGATTATTACATTTTGCACCTAGCAATCATTGTAAGTTATTTATTATTTATTAAGCTATAATTAATAATATTTTCATTAGTAATACAACTAAAAAAATAAATAAATTTAATAATAAAACAAAAAAAACTTGATTTAAATTAATTTCAAAGTTTCAATAACTATCAATAAATTATTTTTTATATTTTATTTATTACAAAAACATTGACTCTAATAATATAAATATGTAACTAATAGTAGAATTAGTTCAATAACTTAATAATAATTTATAAATAAATATATAAATAAGTATTTTCTTTATTTAAAAAACTCAAATTAATTTTTAAAAAATAAATAATATGTATTTAGTATTCAATTAATACTAAGTATTAATATAATAATTTAAACTAAATATAAATGATATTTAATTAAAATAGTATTTAAAAATTTTTTAAAAATAATAATTTTTTAGTTAGGATTTTTTAATGAATTATGTCTAGTATATAAATATGATAAATATATAGATATTTTATATATATTTTTAAATTTTTGTAACAAATTTAATTAAAACTATTTTAGTGTACATGCAAAAAAATTATTATTACAAATATTTGTTAACTCATTACTGTTAAAGTATTCATTAAAAATATACTTATATTGTAATACAAGTCAATAAACTATTACGATATCAATAAAAAATAATTAATTATAATTACATGCTTTAGCAAAAAGTTATATATTTTTTAAATACTTGATACTTAATAGTATTAAAATATATAATAGTTTTAAAATATTATTTTTTAAACTTAAATTTTGATTATATGAAATAAAAATTTTTTAACAATAAATAGCAATATTTCGATATTTGAAAAAAAAATATTTTTAACGACAAACAACAATGTTAATTACAAAAATCAATTAATTATTTAATATTATGTTATATAATTTAAAAATAAAGATAATTTTTAGGAAATTTTTAGTATTTATAGCCACACAAAAAATTAATAGCAATCATATATTATTAAAAAACTAGAAATTATTTTTAAAACTTATAAAAGTATAATAATATCCATTTATTTTTTAAGTACGTTTAAAGTAGAAAAATCTATTTTATAATATTTTATAATAAAAATTATATTAAAAAAACAAAATTAATATGGCTAAACTTTATTATAATTTTTAAAAAATATTTTAATAAAATTCAATACTAAAAAAATAAAATTTATTAATAAAACAAACAAATATGTTTAATGTATTAATATATAGTTTTAATTATTAACATTAAATTCAATATATATTTATATTTAAAAATAATTATTGTTTGTTATATTGCATTATATTTTAAGTACAATAATAATTTTAATTAAAATATTTTTATATTTATATGTACACAAATTAAAAACATTATTACTTATAAATAAGTCAATGATAACGATAGAGTCGGCAAATATTTAGATAAAATTTTTTTCCTGAAAATTAGATTAAAATATTCAATGAATAATACAATAACAGCTACAATGAAACCCATTAAACAAATATAGAAAATGCTTTGCAAATCATTGAGTAGTAGATCACGTATGGCTTCACTCGGCACCGGCTGTTCGTCTAAATGGTATCGCGCGGGCACTCTATTAACCGTACGGATCAACCAATGCTCGAATAAGCCGTTCTCTAGGAATCTGGCGATTCTATACACAATACACAATATATTAAAAACATTGTATTATTATTATTACAACTACTACTACTACTACTACTACTACTACTACTACTACTACTACTACTACTACTACTACTACTACTACTACTACTACTACTACTACTACTACTACTACTACTACTACTACTACTACTACTACTACTACTACTACTACTACTACTACTACTACTACTACTACTACTACTACTACTACTACTACTACTACTACTACTACTACTACTACTACTACTACTACTACTACTACTACTACTACTACTACTACTACTACTACTACTACTACTACTACTACTACTACTACTACTACTACTACTACTACTACTACTACTACTACTACTACTACTACTACTACTACTACTACTACTACTACTACAAAATTAATTATTATTGTTATTAATAAATACAATAAAAAAATATTTAACTACTGCTAATAAATTTTATTTAAATATTGAAAAATTGAAAAAAAAATTATTTTATTTTTTTTAAATCTAATCTAAATAATAGTAATATTAATTAATTGATATGACATTTAATATATTAATTAATTAAATTAATTACACATAATCAAACGGCTGGATCAATGGCGACCCCTTCCTAAAAGCCATACCCATGTGGTCCATCATCAGTGTCTCACCAGATATATGCATAGCCCGTTTGGCACCACTGCGTACGGCAAACCATAGCGACACAACTGTGTTGACAAATATGACACCCCTATCATCGGGACCGCCGCCGCCACCGCCGCTATAGTTGTTAATTAAATCGATTCCCTGATCGGCCGTTTCGGGTGCCGGCAGTCGGCTGACGGCCAACATATTCTGGCCAATATGATAGTATGAACCGCTACAACAATCGGCCAGTGCAAACACATCGTGATAATAGGACTGGGCATAGGTTATAATATCGTACTGTCCCGAAACGGCTGCCCGTTCCAGATCGTCAAGTGTTTCAATGGGATCCCGGTGCTCGGGTAGGGTTAGTATTGAGTAAAATTTAGCCGAATAAGCTTTCATCAATACCAATGATATTAGAAACCATAGGCACATATAGACCAGTATGACTGGTTGGCTGGTCGGCACACGTATGTTAGCTGTATATTAGATATAATTTATATATATAAATATAATATATTAATTATATATATATATTGTTTGTTTGATAAATAATAGTAAACTAAATAATGCTATTATTATTAAAGTTTTCTAATTAAATAGTTATATAAAATGTTTAAAAATAAGAATAATAATATTTACTAAAATAAAAATTATTAATTAACTTATTATATAATTTAAAAAAACAAAAATAAAATATTTTTTTTAAATTATTTAATATTTATTTTTTTATTATTTTTTTAACATACATTGTTGCAATAGTGCCGCTATTAACGATATGGATATATAGTCGATCAATAGTTTAGGTTTATTAGGAGGAGGAGGAGCACCGGTATCCAATGTATCATCATCATAATCACTACTAGTGGTAGGCATCGCCACACATTTATGGTAGAGGAGGTGCAGGACTACTGTCGATAGTATAAACGATATGGTCATCGATAGCCAAACCATGGGTGCAAACGGCGATAGTGTTATCCATTGACGCGATTTGAGTCCCGGCCGGGTTGAGACAAATGTTAACGGTATCAATAGGTAGGCCCGGCTAAAGTCGACCGCTTTCGAGCGCTCGTATGTACGGGTCAGATCACATATGGACAGATCGGCTGTCTATAAGTTAAATACACACCCAACCCATCCATCCCACACCCCCACCGAAAAAAATAATAACTATTATGGTTACACGTATAATAAACGTATGCGTATTTATGATATATATACCTTATTGTATAGGTGTCCAACACTACCCGACCATGTGCCCGTCAGGTTATCATAGCTACCCCAGCTTTGATTGGCATACATCAACTGGTAGGTGAAATTGAATTTCCTGCTCAACAAATTGATCATGGCCAATTCTATTGAATAGTGTTCGATAAATTTATTTTCACCAAGATAATCAAAATCGCAATAGGGTAGATCCTAATACATGTATGATTAATTTTTTTTTAGTTAGAAATTGTTTTTTTATTTTTTTATTATAGATAATATAACTAATAATTTAATAGTAAATAATTATGTATTTAATTTATTTAACAATAAAACTACATATATACAGTATATATAATATTAAATATATATATATATACAGTATATATATATATATTAAATATATATATATACAGTATATATATATATTTGCTTGATTAATAACATTTAGTAAAATATTATTATTATTAAAGTTTTTTAATTAAATTGTTATAAAATGTATAAAAATAAGATTAATAATAATATTAATCAAAATAAAAATTTTTAATTAACTAATTATATAATTTAAAAAAAACAATTAAACAAAAATATGATAATATTTATTAAAATAAAAATTTATATATTTATAGTTAATGAGTTTATAATTTTTCTTAAAATATTATTTTTTTATAAATTTTAATTAAAAAGTTATAATTATTTTTTTTAGAAATATAAATAATCGATTTATTATTATTATTTAAAAAAACAAAATATTTACCTTGTTAACCGATATTATTAGTTTAGTATTGTTCAATGTACATTTACTACTAGTAAGTGCATTGCATGTACCAAGTTGATTATTAAATAATATACCCTGATACAATTGGCAACCGTATAGTACGGGATTTAAATAGCCGACATCGACTAGGTCATTTAAATTTATGGTCCGTACACAAACAACGTAACATCTAAATTCTGGGAAATTTCTAATCAAATATTCCCTAATAATTGTTTCCAATAATTTTTGATTACAATTTTCGATAACAAAAACAATATTAACATATAGTGAAAATTGATTATTAAAAAATTTTACGGAAAAATCATTAATTATTGTTGGATTAGTTAGTGATAAAAATAAATTAAAATTTTTCTGATCCAATATATTTGATTTAATTAAATAATTATTGAATATTTCAACATTTTCAAATTGATAATTTTTTGAAATACATTTTTTAAAATTATTAGTATTATAACTATTAAAATATTCACTAATATTTGTATTATTGAAATAACTATTATTTGTTTTGATAGTAAACAAAATATTTTGTTGTTGATTTTTTTGACAAATTTCATGAATAGTTTTATCAAAACTAACACAAAAATTTATAAATGACATACTATTTGTTGTTTTTAATAACAATAATATTATTATTATTGTTATAATTGGCAAAATAATACTACTATTATTATTGAAAACCATGAACTTTTAATAATTTTATTTATTTATTTAGTTTTAAAATATTTTTTTGTTTAAAATAAATAATTTTATAAATAATACTTAATAACTACAATAATATAACATAATAGTTATTTGAATGAAAAAAATTATTAGATATCTATAATAAAATAATTAACACAAATAATTTATTGTAAAAATATTGATTTTCATTAAAAATTTATATATATATATATTTGCTATATATGTTTGTTATTGTTGTTTATATATATATATATATATATGTAAATTCGTGTTTAAGTACAAACTCATTGATAGTATTATTTAATCGGAATATTTTATATTTTGTTTTCAATCATTAACTATAAATAAAAATATTGTTATTAATTTTAACGATTAAATAACATAACACACACATACACACACACACACAAAAACTATAATTATTGGATCAAATTATTTGAATACTACAAAACTAATCATTAATATTGATATACAGTATATATATATATATATATATATATACTGTATATATATAAATATATATATATAATACTAAATACTATTATAATTTGAATATACAGTATAATAATATATGTAATAATATTTTTAATAATAGACATGAATTTCTATAGAATAATTTATATAACAAAAATATACATGTACATATTTATCTTTTTATAAAAATATCAATAAATATTAATATTATTTTTATTTTTTGTAAATTGTAATATGTTTTAGTTGAATTAAATTTATACTTTTATTAGGGGATTTTTTTAATATGTAAAATAAATTGACAAAAAAATAAAGTTTTTTTTATAAAAATATTAATTATTATTTTACATTAAATTAGTAGACTTTACAGATAATAATAATAATAATATTTAGATAAAATATCTAAAATTAATTAATAAAATTAAAAGTATAATTAAACAAAAACGAAATAAATAAATAAATTGATATTAAAAACTATAAATAAAACTTAAAAAATATTATTCATTAATTTTACCGTATAGACCCGCATATAGCCCCCCTGACGGTTTTTAAAAATTTTAAAATCAACATTTGGTAGGGGGCTATTTTTCACATATAGCCCCCCCTACTGGGGCTATATGTGAAGTCGTGGGGGAAGGAACGATTGGGGAAAGGGTTACATATAAAATCGGTCTAATAAATAAAAAAATATGTAATGATCTGTAATAAGCTATGATTGTTATACGGATTATGTATTTAAGTAACAAAGCATTTAAATACAGTATAATAGCATTGAATTGAAAAATTATTTAAAAAACTTAAAATTTACAGTTTATTATAATTAATAGTTTTAGTTTAGACTTTACACTGACCGGTCAATAGATGGCATGGGGGTATATACACATTCAAAAAAAACTACAATATTTTCAATAGTGGGGCTATTTGTGATTTCATTCAAATCAACTTTTGGTGGGGGGCTATTTTTCACTTATTGCCCACATATAGCCCCATATGGCCATGGGGGGCTATTTGCGGGTTTATACGGTACATTATATTTAAAATAATTTATAAAATTACTAATTGTTACCAAATAACTAATAAACAATATATTTTAATTGTATATATTTAAACAATATATACTTAAATAGCAATTTAACTAACAATTAATTAACTTAACAATTATTATTATTATTATTAATCATTACTTTCTAATATTATTAAAATATTAATTTTTAATTTTTTTTTTTAAATAATAAACATTTATTTTTAAAAAAGTACAGTAAATTTACTAAACAATTAATTTATGACAAAAATATTAATTCATTTTGTTTTTCGAGAGAGAGAGAGAGAGAGAGAGAGAGAGAGAGAGAGAGAGAGAGAGAGAGAGAGAGAGAGAGAGAGAGAGAGAGACAGAGAAATGGATGCAACGGACGGACAGACGGCATCACTCCTAGTCATCAAACGGCGGTAAACCAAACACTTCGGGACGAAAATCCAGCAACGAATCCAACGTAATGGTCGGTGAGGCCATCGATCGGGGAACTTCACGGGCCGGAACCCATACCACTTGACAACCGGCACCCATACCCGATCGGACACCTGCTGGTGAATCTTCGAACACCAATACGTTGGCCATTGACTGGGGTTTGGATGACCGAAACCTAGTGACTGCCACCTCATAGGATTGTGGATCAGGTTTTCCGCGTTTGACATCGGGATCATCGGAACAAATCAATATATGTTCAAACAATTTGAACAATTCCTGGTGATCACGGGTTTTCATTTCAAACGTATGCCGTTTAGAACTGGTAGCTATAGCTATGGGCACCCGATTCAGGTGCAGGTGTCTAACCAATCGTTCGGCACCCGGCAAAAATGGTACCTGATCAAATACATTGTAGTACTCTTTGTTCAATTCCTCTATATACTGGTCCGGTGTTATTGGCAATCCTAGTTCCCGGACTACCAGTTCAGCTTGGTCATGTTGTGTTGTACCAATTACTCTAACTATAGATAGATAGATATTATAAATAAAATCTACTAGGTTAAAATTAAAAAATAATTTTAGTTTTTTATACTGTATTTTAATACATGTATAAAAAATTTTATAAATTATATATGTTTTGTATTTTTTTTTATTTTTTGTTTGTTAACTAATTTTAGAATAAATGATAGTATTTTTTATTAAATAAATAAATAAATATATATATATATATATAGAAACAATTTGAACTAGTTGAAATAATAAAATTACTAATAAATCTATAGTTATTGATTATCCTAAATGTTAAAACTGTTAAAAAATATTATTTTTAAATATAATGTTAAAATTTTAACATTAAATTTTTTTTTGACTATATTACTGACATTTCTATTTGAAATTTTATTGGAAAACATTATTATTGTTAAACTACTAATATTTTTAGTTGTTTGTTTACAGTTGCCATTGACGACAATTGTAAATAGTAAATATTTTGGAAAATTTTTTTCTATCATCATCATATTATAAATAGCCTAGATAAAAATCTAAAATCTAAAAAAAAACTACCTAAAAATTAATTACATACATAATAACCTAGATAATTAAGCATATATTGTTTATTTAATTATTATAATTTTTTTTAGATTTTTATTTCTATGAAAACAAATTATATTTTTTATAATTTATATAATTTTGTTAATTAAAAATTAAAAAAAATTTTAGATTTTTTTTTATATCCCAAACCTCTTAGCTCTAGTGGATAGGGTTTACCATAGCGTGTGGTAACCGTATTGATGGCCCTCTCATACCGGGGTTCAGTGTCTTTGCAAAATAAAAACAGTAAAATAAAATTTTTTTATAAAAATAATAAAATTATCACAAATTATTTTTTAAAAATAATAATGGGCTCATACCTAATAATAGGCCGTCCATATCAAACACTACATGTGTTACGGGTGTTACAAACTGTTGGCCACTCATTGCTGGCGAAAAAATTTACGGGAAAAATAGTAACACAAAAAAATAAAATTTTAATTTATTTATTTTTTTTGTATATAAATTTAGTTATTAATTAATTAGAAAATTATTAGCTTATAATAATAAGTTTGTTAATTAATTTTAATTTTTTTGATGTATCAAAGTTTGAATTGAATGTGTGTTTGAATGAGATATTGTAATAACAGTAATATGTGTTATCATTAATGTTTATACAGTATATGTGTGTATATGTTTTAAATGCAATTTTAAAGGACAGTCGACTTTAACAGTATGACGTTCCTTACTCTCTCTATCTCTATATATCTCTATCACTAATATATGTTTATTACATCATTCAGTGCACTGTATTATACAGTAATTTATATACACGTGTAGTCAAAAATTGATGTCTTGCTGTGTATGTGTATGTGTATGTGTATGTGTATGTGTATGTGTATGTGTATGTGTATGTGTATGTGTATGTGTATGTGTGTGTGTATGTGTGTGTGTATGTGTATGTGTATGTGTATGTGTATGTGTATGTGTATGTGTATGTGTATGTGTATGTGTATGTGTATGTGTATGTGTATGTGTATGTGTATGTGTATGTGTATGTGTATGTGTATGTGTATGTGTATGTGTATGTGTATGTGTATGTGTATGTGTATGTGTATGTGTATGTGTATGTGTATGTGTATGTGTATGTGTATGTGTATGTGTATGTGTATGTGTATGTGTATGTATGTGTGTGTGTGTGTGTGTGTGTGTGTGTGTGTGTGTGTGTGTGTGTGTGTGTGTGTGTGTGTGTGTGTGTGTGTGTGTGTGTGTGTGTGTGTGTGTGTGTGTGTGTGTGTGTGTGTGTGTGTGTGTGTGATATGATGTGATAGCAATAATAATATACCACAATATAAATATTCGCTCCTTTTTTGAAAATAAAGTTTCCCATTTAGTTCCCACTACTAATAATTTAATATTTTTCAATATAGTTATTTCAACACACACACACATTTAAACATTATTTATAGTTTGTTAACATTTTTATTTTATTATAAAATTAATGTAAATTATAATATTATTTAATTATTTGTTTGTTTGTTTTGTTTATTTCTAGTTTTTTATTTTCTTATTGCATATAATAAAATAATTCAAATTGTTTTTTTCATGTTGTTTATAATAATATAATCATACAAAAATAATATTTATCTTAAACCTAAAAAACACATTGCTTAAAATAAATTGATATGGGAATTTATTATGGGAATTTATTATGGAAATTTCTAGTAATATTTCAACACTAAACATATGTTTAGCAAACTATTATTATTATCTCTATGCGTGACTATAAGCTATAAAATGTTTAACACAAATATAAGTTTTTTTTTAGAAATAAATGATTATATGATTAACTTTAATAATGATGTACTGCTAGAATAAATAAAATTTTTTAAATGTTTAGATCATATATATTAATATATATATATATATATATATTAATAATATGATTAAAAATAAATTAATAAATTATTTTTGGCTATATTTCAAATATTTTTTTACTCAGAGATTCATTATGTATCAGTCAATAGAATAAATTAATTAAATAAATCTAATGTATTAATAAAATTTATTTATTAATAGATATAATATTTTTATAATTTTGGAAAATTTTTATTAAATTTATTATATTTTTTTTGTAAAAACAAATAATTTAATAATATAATCACACAATTAGTTTCTTTAAAAATAAATTAAAAACTATTACTAATAATTACTAATATATTACTAATATATAAAATATATTAATTTTTAGTACATTAATATATTTTTTTGTTAATTTATAGTTTAGTAGAAAATATGTAAATTATTTTATTGACATCTAATTTGATTATAATATTAAAATTAATATTTAATTTTGTGTAAAATAATATCACTTTAATAATCATATGATAATTATTTTTTTGAAAATTTTAATTTTTGTTTGAATTGTATTAAACTTTGCACTTTAAAACTTGTAAACTGTATTTGTTAATAAATTTGTTAGTACAGTACTACCTCTATAAAGTACATGTAGTACATGGTTTTAAAATTAAAATTATTGATTTTTTTATAAATATATATACTGTATATACTCTGTATAATTATTAGTACATAAATAGTACATAAATATCTTATTATAAATTAGCGTGCTAAGTTATTAAAATTCAATTTAAATAATTAAATCGAAAATATTTATTAATGTAGTTTATTTAGTTGGTAATACATGATTAAACATTATTAATATAATTATTTTATATAATTATATTATTTTCTAAATAACAAAAAACATTATTATTTTTTAAGTAAATTATTAGTAATAGTCTTTAAAAAAATGCCTATAAAATTACCACAATTATTTTTTGATAGTTAAAAAAAATTAATATCACCATGATAATAATATTTAATAATTTTTTTTTAACAAAAACATCTATATCCTAAATGTTTAATGCTAAATAGAAAAATAATTGTACTTGATAAATAGTTCAAATAGATTATTTATACAGTATAATGTTTTTTATGTTTTAATAATTGTTAGTGTATTTAATAACAATATTAATAATTAACGACAATATACTATATATACTGTATTAGTACTATAATAATGATATCTAATTAATGATAATAAAAAATAGTATTAATTCAAAAAATGTTATCTTCAAAAACATATTTAAATTTGTTTTAATCCAATAATTAATATACACACAAACATTGCTTAAACAGTATTGTTTTAATACTAAAATGTAATTTATATAATAATTTTTTTAGAAAAAAAATAATTCATATAAATTAAATTATTACATAATATACTGTTTTTAATTATAATAATAACGATTGTGTTATTTATTAAATATGTTTTAATTGTTTAATTTAAAAAAAATAAGTTTGTTTCAGTGTTTCATCTGATATTAAGGTACAATAGAGAGTACTTATTAAAAAACTATTTATTATTATTATTATTATTTAATATCATATTAAAACATTTCACTAATTATAAGAGATAATACATGACTATTAATATCTAATAATTTTGTGATAATTTTATTGAAACAAATGTCTCGTTTCTCATAATTAATATAATTTCAATCAAAAAAAAAATAAAAATATATAATTTTTTAAATACATATAAAAAAATATATTTCACAATAAATACAATTACTATTATTATTATACAGACATATACTGTATATATAAAAAATTATTATTATTTTATTCAATTATTTGATAAGTTGTTGTAGTTTACTATAACACAGAAAATAAAGTCAGTATATATTTATATATATATTTTTTTCATAAATATTTAATAAAATAAAATTTTTAGATATTTTTTATTTGTTTGTTTGATATAAATATTAACCTAAAATTTTTTTTTAATTGTTAACATATTTTTACTTTTATATCTTAATATAACAGTTAAACTAAAATCCTGTTAAAAATAGCAAACAAACAAATGGCTAATAAAAATACCATATGTTTGGTGGTTGGCTGCCTATGTCTGGCACAGTTAGCTATGGTGGTGGTGGCCAAAAATAAGTGTCACAACAACAACAACAATAGTGCCGACAAAAAAGTTCACTATCGGGTCGAAACAGTCGAAACGTTTTACTCGGATCTGGGCGAAGGTCCGCATTGGGATGAAAAACAACAGGTGCTCTGGCATACAGATATCAATACCTTTCGAGTATGTCGTCTGAATGTTACCAGCCGTGTGGCCGACTGTCATCAGCTTCAGGATATAGCAACACTAGTACATCCCTATCCCGATGGCCAGAACCTGTTGGTTACACAGCGTAACAAAATGGTTCGTCTGAATTGGCAAACAAAACATGTGGATGTGTTGGGCGAAGTGGCCCCTGAACTCAAGGGTAAGGAACGATTCAACGATGGTAAAGCTGACCAAACAGGTAGACTATGGATGGGTACCATATTGGACAGTGATAAGGGTGTAGTACCCGGTAAGGGTAATCTGTATAAATGGGAAAACGGTAAGTTTGTGAAGGCAGCCGATGGTTTTTATTTGACAAACGGTATGACCTGGAGCTACGATAATCGGAAAATGTTTATCAATGACTCCGAGGGCCGCAAAATATATGTGTTTGACTTTGATATCGAAAAGGGAACGTTATGTAAGTAATTATTTTTTTTATTATAAATTAATTTAAATCTATTATAATTATTATTTAAAATTAATATTATTTTTTTTTAAATCTTATTTTTAACTATTATACTGTATTTATTTTTATTAGTCTTATAATTATTATTTTATTTTATACTATTAATAATTAAAATTTCATTCATAAATTAATTTTAGTTTCAAAATTATTATTATTTTATTTGTATCAATTAATTATTTACTTTTTATATACTAATAATAATAGCCAACAAACGTGTACTGATTGACGGCGACAACAGTACCGACATCACTGTCAACGACCATCCGGATGGCCTGACTCGCGACAAACAGGGCTATCTATGGTCGGCATCGTATGCCGGCGGCCGTGTATTTCGTGTCGATCCGCAAACCGGTGACGTCATCGACTCGATAGCCATACCCTGTCCGCTGGTTACTACACCAGTGTTTGGCGGACCAAACTTTGACCAAATGTTGATTACGACTGCCTATAAAAACTTTGGTCCCGACCAGCGGACACAGCATCCGACCTGCGGTCAAACCCATCGAATAACTGCCATTAATTCGAAAGATTTTGTCGGTACTGTCGACTATCGGCCCAAACTGTAATACTAGCTACCGTTGCCCTCAAAAAACAATAATAACAACTATATTAACTAATTTTTAGATATAATTAATATAATAAATTTTTTTTAATCAAATTTAATATATTTTATTACCATAATTAAGAAAAATAAATAATGTCTATTATATATAGGTATTATAGATTAATATAATGTATTTTATTTTTATAAAAATAATAGTAATAATTAAAATAAAATAATTAATACCATATAAGTATTATTTTTTTTAATTGATAAGATAATAATTAATTTTTGCACTTATTTTTATAATTTTACAATAACAAAAAATTAAAATTTTATTTTTATGAAATTAGACAGATGCTGGTGAAATATTATCTAAAATAAATACAATAATATTAAAAATAATTGATATTAATAATATTATTTTATTTATATAAAAATAATCAATTTAGTATATTTTTTATATGTATATTATCTGAAAACATAAATAATATTTTCACGACTTCCTGAAAGGAATACGTATATGAATTCTATAAGTCTGTCTGTCCCATTCGAATCCAGGCTCAGCTACACATTTTTTTATTTTTTTTTTATTTTTTTATTTATTGTTTATTTTTAAGCAAAAAAAAAAACAAAATGGTGTCCAATAATTAATAAAAAAAATTTTTTTGAATTTTTTTTGAATTTTTTTTTGAATTTTTTTAAATGTTTTTTGAATGTTTTTTTGAATTTTTTTTGAATTTTTTTTTTGATTTTTTTTTGAATTTTTATTTAAATTTTTTTAAAGTTTATTTTATCAAGAACATAGACAAAATTGTGTCAAAATTTTTAAGTTTAGATTTGTGTAAATTACTAATTAAAATTAAAAAAAAGTAAGTAAATTTCATATATTTAAAATGTTTATTTTAAATAATAATGTTAAATAAATTAAAAAAGTACTTGTTTAAAATGAACAATTTTATTAAATTAATTAGTATAGAATTATGTGAAAAATTAAAAATTGAGTAATAAAAAATAATATCTTGCTAGTACTTTTCCATAAACTCTTACGTAATAGTAAGTGTAGTACGTTTATAGTAATTTTCCATGAACTTTGATGTCATAGTAATTGTCGTAATTTTCTTGTATTTTTCCATGAACTCTGAATACACAGTAAGTGTCATACATTATTTGTAGTTTTCAATGAACTTTGATGCATATGTGTCGAACTTTACTTGTAGTTTGGTTTGACTTCAGACGCAGAATGTGTCGAACTTTAATTGTATTTTGGTTTGACCTATGATGTATAATACGTTTCGAACATTACATGTAATTTGGTTTGACCTCTGATGCATAATAAGTGTCGAACTTTACTTGTAGTTTGGTTTGTCGTGTTGTGCGACTGCTCAGTAGGCTGACAAATTAGTATATAAAGACTGCTATTTCTGCAGTGACCATCATTCAACAGTCTGGCTTGGTTGGCTAAGCATCATCTACAATAGTCAGAGTAAGTTGTTATGACTAATTTATAAATTATTTATTAATTTTTGAATTTATCAACAGATGGCATTAATTGACGAATGCAAAGTATGCTATGACGTAGCGGAGCTGCTGATGTCCGAACTTTTGTGTGAAACATGTGAGCATCACATTTGACAGAGAAGTTTGTACAATGTTTAAGAATGGAGCGTCATAAAGGCTTCATTAAACTTGTTTGTATTGTGTAAACTTTGGGTGGAACTAGAAATTTTGGATGTCATCTTTGACTAAAATGAAGAGTGACAACAGATAGAGATATTGGATGACGAACATCCAGTCCACCAACAATACGTCTTTGAGAATGATTGTATAATCTTTATGCACCAATTGTTCACAACATGTACTATCCGCATCCTACATATTGTTCTTAATAAGAGGAACCAATGTTTGCATAAAACGACGACGATCTTCTGTTTGCACCAAATGAAGATAACATCAGAGTCGAATCTCAAGAGATTGCCACTGACGAGGTCAACAATATTTCACTTCAAAACAATCCATTTATATTTGAAGACGATATTGACTTCGCTTGGGTTAACGAAATCAAGGTATAACTATTGAAGTCATAACAATCGATGACGCTGAAAATGATCTCATTACTTCAAATTTAATGACTTATTTTTTAATATTTTTCGATTTTTGTAATTTAAATATTGTGTTTAACTTATATATAACAATTATAAAAAAGTAAAATTTAACGATACTCTTTTTTTGTCTAAACCAATTTATTTTATGCTTATTAGATTCCTTGACCTCAAAAATGGTTAATTAAATTTTTAAAGTCGGGACTTTGATTGACGAATGTTTGGTGTGCTATGACGTAGCGAAGCTGCTGTTTTTAATTTAAATTTAATTTTTAATTATGATTAGGAATTCGTGTGGAAATGCTTTCTAGCATTCTCAACTGGTTTTATTTTATGTTTTGTTTTAATCAATAACAAAAATAATAAATTACATAAATAAATAATAATTAATTAAATTGTTAATTTAGTAATTATTTTTTTAATACTAAATACTAATAATATATTAATAGATAAATATATATATATATTTTTGTAAATTAAAACATTTAAATTATATAGCAATTTAAAATAAACTATGTTTTATAAAACAACCATATGTTTAATTGGCATATATCTAGTGCAGTCATCATCAGCACTGGTAGCCGCCAGTAGTAGCAAAAAAATACACTATCGGGTAGATGTAGTGGAAACGTTTGCCTCGGATCTGGGCGAAGGTCCGCACTGGGATGAAAAACAACAGGTGCTTTGGCATACAGATATCAATACCTTCCGAGTATGTCGTCTGAATGTTAGCAGCCGTGTGGCCGACTGTCATCAGTTGAGTGATTTGGCAACACTGGTACATCCCTATCCCGATGGCCAGAACCTATTGGTTACACAGCGTAACAAAATGGTTCGTTTGAATTGGCAAACAAAACATGTGGATGTGTTGGCCGAAGTGGCCCCCGAGCTCAAAGGTAGGGAACGGTTCAACGATGGTAAAGCCGACGAAACAGGTAGACTATGGATGGGTACCATATTGAACAATGATAAGGGTGGTATAGTACCCGGTAAAGGTAATCTATATAAATGGGAAAACGGTATGTTTAGCAAACAGGCCACAATGTTTTCGATAACCAACGGTATGACCTGGAGTTACGATAATCGGCTAATGTATGTCAACGACTCCGAAAGCCATAAGATATATGTGTTTGACTTTGATATCGAAAAGGGAACGTTATGTAAGTGTTTTGTTGTTGTTTTTTGAAATTATTATTTTATAATAATTATATTATTATAATAATAGCCAACAAACGCATACTGATTGACGGCTACAACAGTACCGATATTACTGTCAACGACCGTCCCGATGGCCTGACTCGCGACAAACAGGGCTATCTGTGGGCGGCGGCCAATAAGGGTGGCCGCGTGTTTCGTGTCGATCCCAGTACTGGCGATGTTGTCGACTCGATTGCTCTGCCGTGTCCGCTGACCACTACACCGGTGTTTGGCGGTCCTAACTTTAACGAAATGTTTGTGACCACTGCCTACGGTAATGGTGGTCCCGATCAGCGGGCAAAATATCCGACGTGCGGTCAAACACATCGGATTACTGCCGTAGACTCGGATGAATTTGTAGGCACTGTTGACTATCGGCCCAAACCATAATACCGGTGCTCATATCTTATTAACAATATTATTGAAAAATATTACACATTTATTATTATTATTTTTTTGTATTCAATTAATAAATTAAAAATTTCTGTTTATTATTAAAAAAAAAATAATTTATTTTTTTTTTGTATATTAGAAATAATAATAATTATCACTATTAGATAACTTATATTTGTTTTAACATTAAAATGTTGTTATAATAACTTAATATTAAACAATATTATTGTTATTATTACACAATATATCATTTATATCACAATTATATATAATATACTGTATATATATATAAGTATTATATAATTATTTAGTTTCACATAATTTATATCACACTCATTATAATAGATAATTTAGAAAAAAATAAAAAATATATTAAAAATTCACACTTTTTTAAATAATTATTTTTTTTAGATATTTTAATTTTTAAAAATTGATTCACAAAATGTAATAATAATACTAATAATTAGACTAATAAACTGTATTAATGATAATTTTAATGTCAATGATGATGATGTTAGCACTACTACTACTAGATTGGGCACAAATTCCGTATGATTGGCATCGGTACTATCGGCACCGGTAGTGGTAATATTTTGGCACCCATTGAATTCGGTAGCGTTCAGTGACCATATGTTTGGTTGGTGGACACCACTACCACTAATTACCGGATCCATGCACCGGGCGTTTACTACTCTATCACGGTATAGGTGCCGCTGATCATCCAATAGCAGCCACGCTATACTACAGTCACATTTGATGGCATTCCCAGTCATATCGATCACATTTGACGGATTAGTACTGATAAACGGCCGATAGGTATGAGCCTCGAGTCGAGTAATATTATTGTAACCCAAACGCAAACTAGTAGGCCGTTTGGTATGTAGAAAACTACCCGTTTCTAGGCTACCGGTGCTCAACTGATTCGATTCTAAGTCAATGGTCAACAACACGCGGTGCGCGCTAGTAGTAGTAGAGTCAAAATCAAACGCGTGTGCCTCAACACGTGCCAAACGATCGGTACGTACACGAACCCACTGCAAGTTGCTTAGCTCGTAGAAGGCATAGTTGGGTATTGTCGACACACGCGGGGCCTGTAGGCTGAGCACCTGGAGCTGCGATTGCGGTCCTCTGGCTGCCGTACTAAACAGGGCAAAACTGGGCAGTGCCCGGAGCTCAGGTAGTTCCAAATGTATTTCTCTGGCATTAACCAGACTACTTAATGCATCAAACAATTGGGTAACATGATTGCGGCCCAGCTGACTCTGGCCCTGGACGCTAAACCATCTAACTGTCCAAACAGTATGATTGCCAAAAACTTGGGCATTCAGTTTGGCCAGTCGTCTGGCATTTGAAATCGTTATATTTTCGAACATAATCTCCGAAAACATATTGTCATCCCATTCCTCGATCAGTGAGTTCTCGAATATAAACTGTTGAAAGTGTCGGTCACTTTCCTGTCCGCTATCAATGTCGGCACTCACAAGTAGGTGTGCACTGAGATCGGCAAACACGTGCCTCAAGCTATACCACTCGCGATGATCGGCGCACGTAATAACCGTATTGTGTCGGCACCGGCACGGCTCCAATATCCTCTCGTCAAGCGGACAGCGGCCGGTGCTAATTGACGGTATTTGGATGACTGAGCCGATTATGACAATAATAAGCAAATAATAATAATAATAAATGATTGCAAATAATAATGTCTTGAAATCACTTGCGGATGACATATATATACTGTACAATAGATATATAATTATTAATGTCTTGAATGTCTTTATGTTATGATAAGCTGATGAATAGATTTATAGGTTTAGTCTATAGATATTATAGATATATATATATATATATATATTTATATATATATAAGCAGACAAATGATTAATGTTAAGTGTTTTATACTGTATGTAATAAAATTGCTTTTATCTATACTGGTATTATACCGTACATATCAATATTATATATATATATATATATATATATATATATATATATATATACTAAATATATATACTAAATATATACAGTATATACCGTATATATTGTATTTTTTTGGCAAATCAATAAACAATTTATTATAATAATGGGCACTATTATGTAAAATCATGTACAGTATAGTACCGTATAGTAGTAAATACTATATAAACTTTATATATAAGTTTACGTATCATACAAATACAGTGTATATGATAGTCATATATTGGTATATAATCTTATATATATATATATATATATATATATATATTGAATAATGTTGTGTTTTTTTGATAGATATTTTAATAGAGTAACCAATAACAAAAATATTTAAAATTAACTTTATGTATAACAAAAAATTAACATGTATAATAATTTCATAGTAAAGTTAACTGTATTAAATTAGATATCAGTTAATTACTAATTCACAAAATAATTGTTGATAACTCTAACTTACTAAAGTACTAGTTAGGATAAAATAATTAAAATGTAAACAAATTTTTTATAATTTTCAATATTTTTGTATAACTTACTTAAATATATCTAATAAATTTTCAAAATAATAAACAAAACAAAAATTTATAAAAAAATTGAATATACATTTATATATATTTTTTAAAAAACAAACTAAAATTATAACAATAATATAATAATAATAATTATTTAAAAAAACAATTCCTGTACTGTTGGTCACTCTAATTATTTAATATACAATATATATATATTGTATATTATAATAAAAGTCTAAGCGATTGGAAAGTTATATTTTACCCTTAAATAGGTTTTTTTTTATTTCCCACTACTCCTATCAAATTATGACAACTATTTTTTTATTATTCAAAATCTGAGACCCATTGCCTTCAACACACACTCACACACACACACACACACACACATATACACACACATACACACACACACACACACACACTCACACACACACTTGCATATTATGTTAAAAATATGATAATTTATTATTTTATATATAGTTTATATGATATAAGTACCTAAATATTACTTTAATATGTTAAATAGGATTTATATTTATATCTATTATATTAAATACTCTACTATTAGGATACGTTTATTATTATTTTATTTTATTATTTGAAAGATGCAAATTGAATAGATAAAAAAATTAATTTATAATTTTAATAAATTTAAAAGTCATAAAATAAAGTTTTCAAAAAATTAAATTGTGTATTTTTATATAACTTAAATAATTAATATTTAATATATTAATTTTAAAAAATCTTACCTATTATATATTATAATAAAAATGTTATCATTATTATGTAGATTAATCACAATAAAAATATATTAATAAAATAATACTTAAATAACACTTATATTATTTGTTATTTAAATATATTATTAATTTTATTAACACTTAAAATTATAAAAATTAATTAATTAGATTATTTTTTAAAAATAAATATACAAATAATTACTAGTATATATATATTTAATTAGTTCAAATATTATATGATTTTTTTATTTGAAAAAATATATTGAAAAAAAAACTTTTATTTTATTTTTTTTCACTAAACTCTGTATTTAATTAATAATAAGCAAAATTTATTGGCGGTGTCTGTCATTAAAACGTGTTTCACACTTAATATTATAGTAATTGCTGTATAATATATATACACTAATAATTATATAGATATACAATATATAACTTTATATCATATATATATAATTAAAGTTGATATTTAAACACTTTATATCACTATTTTACTGTAAATATTATTTATACAATTTTTATTGATTAAATCAAAAATAGCGATATTTACTACATATACAGTATTATAATAATAACTTTAATTTTAATTTAAAAAAAATTGATTCACTTGTGTTTAAATAGACAGACACTTAACAATACACACATACACGCAAACATACAAACAAATAGTTATAATACTACAATATATACTATATATACTGTACTTACATATACACACTATTAGTTAGTTATATACTGTATATTGATTTTTGTATTTATTTTACCCCAAAATAGTAAAGTGTTTTATATATTAATATAACAATATATTTACTGATACTGACAGTAGTCAACACAACAACAACAACACCAAAGCTAACACAACACAAACACCCACTGTATGGACAGTTAGTTAGAAAGAGTTAGTGAAAGAGAAATCAGATCCCAAAATGCCATAATTTACAGACCAAACTGAACTGTACTGTACTTTACTACTGGTGCTGACGATTGTTACTAACGATTGGCAGAACATGTAGAGAGAAAGAGAGAGAGAGAGAGAGAGAGAGAGAGAGAGAGAGAGAGAGAGAGAGAGAGAGAGAGAGAGAGAGAGAGAGAGAGAGAGAGAGAGAGAGAGAGAGAGTATGTACTGTAGGTTTTCATGGAACGGTAGGTAACAAAATTCTACTAAAACTGGGATGAATTAGGATAGGGATGACCTACATATGCGCATCAATGATAGAAAGAGAGAGAGAGAGAGAGAGAGAGAGAGAGAGAGAGAGAGAGAGAGAAATTGTCTATTTCTATGGACTTTAAGGTTTAAAGTCATATAAATATTCCTAATATATATATAATACTAAATATATTAAAGAATATTCTGTTATATTTTATTAGACTATATTATAGATACTATTTAGTAGTAGTACAGTATATTCTGTAATATTAATTAATATACAGAATATTGTATTGAAAACAAAAATTAATTTAATGAATCGTTCATTTGTAAAAATTATTTATTTTTATTTATTATTAGTATTATTTTGAGTTAAAATGAAGGTTATAAATAATTAATTTTAATTAACTAATTTGATTAAAATAAATATTTGATTTATAACTTTTTTTTATATAAGTAAACAAATTAGTGTATTATTTTATTTTATTATATAATTAGTTGAAAACATTTAAATTTTTCGTATTTTTTTTGTTTTTGTTTTATTTTGATTTTATTAAATATTATAAATATTAATTTATTTGTTTAAGTATTTGTGTAAAGTATTATAATTAAACAAATTATTGTTATTTATATTTTTTATTAATTATTTAATTCAGTTAAATATTATACAAACAAATAGACAAAAAAAAAACATTAATAGATAAAAAAAATCACAGAATCTAAATACTTTATAATAAGTTTTTTTTAAGTCAATTTAAATAGTAAATTGTTTCATAAAATAACAATATGTATAAATAAATAAATATAATTTTTAAAAATTATATAATATTTTATGACAAACAGTATTGCATTTTTTAAAATAAATAATTAATAATAAAATTATTTATTTAAATATTTTACCCCAAAAAATAAAATTAATAAATAATTAGTTAATATTATTAGTATTCAATTTGAAAGTTAAATATTTGACAATAAATTGATAACTATTATCACATTTAACATTATTATAATTATTAGTATTATTATTATTAATAAATTCTTGAATCTCATTACTAATATCTGACTTATTGATAGCCCAGTCCTCCCAATTGTCTAACAATTGGCTACAATGGTTAGCATTGCCAGATGATACGGATCTCCAGTCGTTTAGTTTCATTGGTATCAAATAGTTTTCAAATAGTTTAACAAATTTATATAAAATATCATAATTTTTTGAATATAATTGTGCTATTTGTTGACGAATCCTATAAAAACAAAAAAATATATATAATAAAATTAATAAAATATTATTATTAAAAAATGTTAATTTTTAAATAAAAAATTCTAATAATAATAATAATAAGATAACTATAATATAAAATATATAACTAAAACATTTGAAAAATTGATTAATATTTTCTATTATTAGCTAATTTAATATAAATAAACATAAATATTTCAAAAATATATTATATAAATATTTATTTTAAAAAACACATACATGTCATCCATATATTGTATATCATTATCAATGGAAAAGTCCAGTAGTTTTTCGCCAATTTCGGCCACACTTTTAGTATCAATATTTTTGTCGTAAACATAACTGACACCTACACCACCACCAACACCAGTACCTCTACTATCACTATTTGTATGACTATTATTATTATTATCACCACCACCACCACCGACACCACTACTACAACTACTATAGCTAGAGCTACCAGTGCTACTACTGTTGCTACTACTGTACGGAGCCGTCCTATTAAGCATAGTTGACATATTAAGTGCTCGACTCGGATCGTACAGAGTGGCCAGTCCAAAATCACACAGTTTGACAAAACGGCCACCACCACTATTACCGTCACGGGCACGGGTAGGCTGATCGGCCAGTAATATATTATCGGGTTTCAGATCCCGATGAATTACCGGCGGTTCTAGTTGTTGAAGATATTGGACACATTCGGCCACTTCAAGCAACAGCTGACAGCTTAGGTAGTATTCAACCGATGAAAACGGTTGACTACTGTTGTTAGTTGTCGATGATTTGCGACCAAAAATCTTGGGTTTTGCCTGAAGTAGTTGTTGTAGACTTTGGGAACAGTATTCCATACGAATGTATAGCCGCGGACTACTGTTCCGACTGTTGTCTATCCAGGAGCTATAGTAGTGGACAGTGTATGCCGATGACGATGAGGACTGGGAGCTAACCCGACGCAACATTTGTATTTCGCGTGCAATCTTATGTATGTACTCTTCGTTGAGCTCTAGTATTAATAATAATAATAATAATAATTTTAATTAAGTTAAATAATAAATAAATATATATATATTTAAAATTATTAACTATTATTATTATAAAATTATTTTTATAAATATAAAAAAATAAAAATTTTACAGAAAATTCAAATAAATAAATACAGTTATAAAAAATACAAAAATTATAAACTAGTTAAGAAATAAAATTATTTAAAAAATTAAAATTCTAAACAAAATGGCTAAATTAAATAATTAAAAATTAAAACAACAAAATATATTTTATTATTTTTCAATTTTTAAGTTATATAGATAATAAATATTACTATTATTAATTATTATTATATTATTATTATTAATAGAATAAATCAATTACTTATTTATTATTAATACAAACCTTTAATATCAATCTTTTTGATTGCATAATAATTATCACCATGTTCAATTTTGTCGCGCACCTTGTACACTTTGCCAAAATGTCCCGATCCTAATTCAGCTAGCTCATCGTATCTAGTTGAATATCTATCATCATCATTATCAATTTCGACTGAAAAAAATAATAATTTATAATAAAACAACTAATAAATATTTTTTTTTTGAATAATATTATTAATAATAATAACTTATAGTAACTAAAAGAAAATAAGATATTAATTATTAGATTTTCTTTTAATTATTATTCATTATAGATATACTGTATAATACATACCATCTCTTAGTTCATTGATATCAAGTGCACCAGTAATTTGATCCAAACTGTTAGCACTACTATAGTCTGATGACAGTGCCGTCGATGATGAGGACGACGGCCTCCGACTACTACCAGATCCGGAGCCAGAGTTCATCGTCAGTTGGCTATCGTTTTCGTAGAATTCGTCAAACGAACCGAAACCGGTTTGTATGGACTGATTGACCGAATTGGCCAACTGATGGACTCGATTGTCGACCAACTGGGCGGCCACTGCCGACCATCGACGATGACACTGAACGTAGCGTATGTCTTGCGGGTCGACACGCATGTCCAACAATTTCGGCATCAGATGGTGCCGATGCGTACCGACAGTGTTGTTGACGCCGTCCACCATCTCATGATGGGCACCACCGCTGTTGCTGTCATTAATACCGGGCCGCGAACCGCACCAATATATATAGCCTTTGGCTGTAATGAAATAGGTTTCGGTAGCCGAAGGACACACCCGTTCAATGTCAAACAAGTCGACTAGCAGTGTCGGTACGGCCAGAATCGGGTCACTACTGTCCGGTTGTTGGTCACTGTGGCGATGATGATGGCCTAACACATTGAAGCCGTTGTCGCCCCAACTGAACACACGGCCATCAGTGGTCAACGCAAATGACGAGTGATAATCATTGCAATAGACGGCACGTATTTTGCACGTGTGCTCTGTTTTAGTGTTGTCGGCACCGGTAGTTAATTCGGTCGTATTGATAGGGAATACCAGTTCGCACGGTTGCGACGAATACTTTTCCGTCCGCAACAAAAGTCCCGAACCCAACTGACCAGAGGTATTACAGCCCCAGCTGTAAACCCGGCCCGCGGTAGTCAAAGCCAGCGCGTGATACGCACCGCACGCTATCTGTTGTACGCGTTTGGTGTCGTCGTCTAAAAAGTAGTCGACTTTTTTCGGTTGCAAATAAATATCGCATCCCGTCTTTTCACGGGCCAGTTGGCCATAACTATTGTGTCCCCAACTGTATAGATAGTGATCGCTGTCGATGGCCAGCAAAAAATCCAGACCATTGACCATCAATTGTATTTGTTTGCCGGAAAGCTCGGGTATGGCCACTGGTTGTGACCATTGCGGTCGATTGTGGCCCAATCCTAGGGAACCGTTAGCATTGGCACCGATACCGTAACAGTGGTCTGTGTCGGTAATGAAGACAATATTCTGGCCGTTGTTGTCCTCAAATGCGTGACACAAACGGATGATCTGCTGCTGAGTCGTCGTCGGCATTGATTTCGGTCCCGTTTCGGACCGGTTTTCACAATGATTTTTGCATATTTGATACAATTTTATTAGTGAACACATGTTTAATATTAAATTAAATTTAAATTAAATTTTTAATAATAATAATACTGTTATAGTATTTAGTAATAAAATAATTTTTTTTTTGTATTTTGTATTACTAAACACACAACAAGAAAAAAACTAATTAATTAAATAATTAAATTTAATTGCAAACAAGTTTATTAAAAAGTTTATTATTATTATCGTAAAATCTATTATTTAAAAATTAACTATAAAACTGTAAGTTTATTATTATGAATTGTAAAAAATAAAGTTATTATTATAAACAATTCAATATATATACGACATATACTGTACAGAATATTCTGTAAGTTTTATGTGTTTAGTATTTTTTTTATATAATTATTTGTAAAATATTTATTACAATTTGTATCACTAAAATACTTAACTAAAAAACACTTTTTTAACAATAAGTTTCTTATATTTATATAATCATATATTATTCAGCTTATTGATGAACTTTAACTTTTATAATGAAAATTATTTCATTATATAAATAACAAAATTGCAAATACAAAATAATAGTGATGCAAATCGCGTTTTTAGTTGGTTTGCAATTTTATTATTATTATTATTTTACTGTATATATATGTGATCACAACATCAATAGTACTAATAATAATAATAAAATACAATAATATACTGTTGTATATGTATAATAGTAATCATATACTGTAGAAAACATCAGTTAAATGTACTTAAGTTTTGTTTTTAAAAGTGTGACTCAACTGTATTTACGAGATAAATGACTTGTAAAACAAAATTTTGTTTTCATGTAGTAGTCTATGTGTATGTGTGTGTGTATGTGTGTGTATATATGTATGTGTGTGTATATATGTATGTGTGTGTGTGTATGTATGTGTTGTTTTTTTCTGGGGAACTATATGTTACACTATATGATGTGCAATATTTCCGCAATGTTTTTCATATACAATACAATATACAGTAAATATATATATCTCATATAATTCAATATAAATGTGATATTTTTAAACATATTAGAAAATTTTAATGGGGATATGTTTTGGTTGGGGTTAGGGTTTATTTTTAGACAATTTTTTTTGCTGACAATTTTGATGTGATTTTGACTACCAGTGCGTCTCAGATAAATAAGATTACATATATATATAAATAATACTGTATTATTAATTGTTGTAATAATACTGTAATAATAATAAGGAAAATCTCATTTTCAGACTACATCAACAAAATAAAACAAAACTAAATAAATACAGAATATTCTGTATATACAAACAAATTCTACTGTAATTAATATTTATTTTTTTGATGATAATTACTGTTACAAACACATTATAATCATTATTATAATTATTATAATATAGCATTTTTATATACAGTACAGTAGTATATATATATATATATTTAAAATGTTTTTTAAAACTTTTTTTTTTAAATACATTAACCCCAACAACAACAACAACAAAAATTATATGTAATATAATTTTGCATATTTTGCAGAAAATCCCCCCCCCCAAAAAAATTATGTTCACAAAATAAATTATGACTAATAAATCAAATAAATATATTTAGTTTTAATAATAAATATGTTTTTTGAAAACTTTTTTACTGTATTTAAATGTTATATCAATATTACTGTAAAATATTGGTATAATTGTAATAAATATTTTACAGTGAATTTAAATAAGTCATGAAATTATACACATATTTATCATTCAATTATTTATTAATGTATTTAAAATATAAATTGAAATTACTTTTTAATTATTATTATATTTAATAATTCCAAAAATATATTTCAAAAATTTATATTATTAATTGAATTAATAATAAACTAAATTGAAATTTCTATAATATATATATCGTATATACTATTAACTATTCATTTATTTTTTTTTAAATATAAATTTGATTTTATTCAAAAATATATGTAATAATATACTGTATAATAATAATATTTTTTGTATTATTATTACAATCAATCATAAATGTTGTTTACATTACATTAAATATGAATTTTTTGACTGACGCTAAAAAAATTTTATTCAAAAAAAACTTATTTAAAAATAGAATATTTATTTATTTATTTTTTTTGCTAACAGATAAATGTTTTGGCAATATATTATCAATTTATTAAACACACTTTTTTTCTAAAATAAAAAATTTATGAAAACAATATTTACATTAGTTAACTAATAATAATAATAATAATAATAATAATGGTAATCATAATAAAAAATTTTGAAAAAATTGGCAAACATGTCTGTTTACAGTGTCTAAACTTTACATAGAGTCAACACATACACTTACACTTACACACACACACACACACACACACACACACACACACACACACACACACACACACACACACACACACACACACACACATACATACATACATACATACATATACACATACATTCACATGCATGCATGCATATATATATATACACACACACACAAACAAATACACACACACATATATATATATATACATAGCTATACTACTCTCTCTCTCTCTCTCTCTCTCTCTCTCTCTCTACACCCTAACCTTGTATATGCATATATGGTTATCATTGCACAGTTGTCTTCAAAACTCATAGATTTAATGCATATTCCGTGTCTTCTCTCTCTCTCTCTCTCTCTCTCTCTCTCTCTCTCTCTCTCTCTCTCTCTCTCTCTCTCTCTCTCTCTCTCTCTCTCTCTCACTCTCTCCTCTAATCTTAGTCATACCTAACTACTAAAAAAACCAATGTTGTGTTAAAAATAATACATTAATAAACAGTACATCGAAATCAAATGAAAACTTTTTTTTGTGTGTTATTATTATTAGTATTATTCAATAAATATTGATATGCTTTCTTCCACTACAATACCACACATACAATACAATGTAATGTTTGTTTAGTAAATTAAATTGTTTTTTTTTTCATACATGTATAATATATACAATACATATTTACGTATTAGTATTATTGAATATTATTATTATTATTATCTGATTGAAATTATTGAACTTAATCAATGACTACTACAACAAAACAACAGGAAAGTTATGTAGTCTACTCACTAACACCCGATCCCTTTCCCGATGACTACACCACTGTACAGGTAGTCGGCGGCAGCGGTAGTGGTGACGGCAGTGGCCGTCAATATGACTTACGTGACAAACATTTTGCAACAACTATTTGTAAGTGATTTTAAATATTTCAATAAAAAAGTCAATTTCTAATGTTTTGTTTAAAAAAATAGTTATTATTTTAAATTATTATTTGGTTTTAATACTGTATATTGTATTTATTAGTATAATAAAAAAATATATATAAATCAAATAAATTGATATACAATTATTACTTACTTATATAATACATATAATTAATTGATAAATTGATAAAACATCTGTATTATTATCATATGTATATAAAAATAAAACAATTACATTATTTATGTCAATTATATACATATCTAATTAATTAATTAATTCAATAATAAATTGTTAGGAAAATGTTAATATATTCCGGTATAATAATAATCATTTAACTGATAATAATAATTATTATTATTATCTAAAATATATTTATTTACTGTAATCATTAGTACTATAGTATATATTAATAATAAAAAAGTTTAATTAATAAATTATTATCATTTTTATTAATTAATTATTAATAATACACAATAGGTTTGTCAACAATCATAGCGTCGGTAGTATTGATTTGTCTATGGTTTCTATTGGGTGCGGCATTTGGCTACATATTAATGATTATACTACTTGTGCTGATAGTCATGTTAATCATAGTCTATTGGACCCGACGTCCGGCCATATTGTTTCCAACATTTAGGACATCATCCCAGTGCACATCAGTAAAGTTTCCCAATACCTATGCCATGCATGTACTACCTGGGCCTCAGTTACCCCATGTTTATAATAATAATAATAATAAACAAAATAGTAATTTGGTTTACTATCCATATCCAGCTCCCGGTGCCGCTACATATGCTACTACTACTAGTACTAAACAATATGATACTAAATGTAAAACTACTGTTTGATAGTTTGACCATGTTTATTTTATAATTATTTATTTTTTTATTTTCCTATAATTATCTTTATTTGACAATAACTTAATTATTTTTAAAAAATTATTTTTTTTTAATTATTTTGATTTATTTTTTTGTTATAATAAATATTAATAACAATTTTTTTGTAATAATAATGATATAAATAATAATATTATATATAGACTGTGATTGTTTATAAATTGTTGATAACATTATAATTATTACTAATTATTGTTTAATAAATAAATAAATAAATAAATAATAGTTAAATGAGAGTAAAATTTAATTAACATTTTAATAAATTAATCAAAATAAAAATTTATATTTGTTTAGTAAACTAATGCTAAAGTTAATGTTGTTATTGTAGTATATTTACTGTAAAACAAAAAGTTATTTTATCTAAATTTTATTTTACTTGTTTTCCCCTCTATTTTTGTAGATATAATTATTATAATAACAATAACATCATCATCATCATCATCAACAACAACAAAACTATTATACAGTATATATATATACTGTATTTAAAAATAATAAATTATTTTTAAACGTATCAATTAAATTGTGTTGTTTATAAATATATATATATATATATATATATATATATAGTATATAAAGTAAGATATGTTATCTAATACTAGTAATTATAATACAAGGAATAACAATAGGATCTAATAATATTGTATTATAATATAATAATTATACCAAAAAATTCAATTTATCTAAAAAAACTGTAATTGTTTTCTAATATTTATCTAATAATAAAATATATTATATATAAGTGTAATTTATTAATAGGTTTTTTTATTTGTTAATTAATTTGTTATAAAAGTTAATAAATCAATTTTTTTTCATTAAAAAGTAACTTTTACTTTAATATGTCCTTATAAACATACTAATATTTATTATTATTTTCAAATATATATAATATATTTAAAAATATCTCAATTGTTTAATTACAGTTTGTAAAATTTAAATAATAATAATATAAAATAATAAAATATTTATTTTAATTTATAACTAATTAATTATTTATAGATTATAAACTTTATAATATAAAGTTATGAAAAATATATAATTTTTTACACATTAAGCAAATTGTATAAAATTTTTAAAATATTTATATATATATATAATTTATTCGTTTAAAAAATTTCTAAGAAAAAAAATAAATAGAAATTTTTTGCCAAAAATAAAATATTAAAAAAACAATTTTTTTCACTAACAAAAACATACTGCCATTGAAATGATAAATAAAAAAGTATTTTTGATTTATTTATTTTGTTGCATAAAATAACAATTGCTATACAAAATTCAATATTGAATTGAATTGAATTGAATTTATTTATTTATTTTTTGTTAAAAATTTTCACTAATCTTACAAATAAATAGTTAGAGAGAATATTCTATAGAAATGTAACATAAAATAGATGTTTTAATTAATTTATTTCTTTATTTGTTTCATTGATTTTTTTGTTACTAATTGCTTGTAAATAAATTACTGCATATTATTTATTATTATTTATTTTATTTCTAGTTAAACATTACAACAACAACAACAAAAATAATATATAAGATTATATTATACAGTGTATACATTATACAGTATAAATATATTATAGTATTATACAGTACACATACAAATTTAGTCATTATAACAACAAATTGCATTAAATCTTTTTATAAGATTAACCGCAAACACACACACATATACACATACATACACACACATACATACATACATATATACATACACACAAACATACATATATGCACACACATAAACACATACATACATACTCACATACACACACATACATACACACCATACAAACATACATACATACATACATACATACACACATATACACACACATTCATACACACACACACAAACACATTCATACACACACACACACACACACACACACACACATACATACATATATACATACACACAAACATACATATATGCACACACATAAACACATACATACATACTCACATACACAAACATACATACACACCATACAAACATACATACATTCATACATACATACACACATATACACACACATTCATACACACACACACAAACACATTCATACACACACACACACACACACATACATACATAAACACATACATACACACACACTCTCATACATACACACACACACACACTCATACATACACAACGATTGTAGCATTTAATAACATTAATAACATTATCAATAATTGTTTACAACCCATATATAACAATAATAATAATACTATGAGATATATTTATGTATAAAATACTTTAGATTAAATACATATATTATATACAATACATTATGTATGTCCTCTCAGTCATTAACTAACTAACTTGCCTTCAATACTATATTTTCTTAAGGCATTTAATCACTCACTCACTCACCCACTCATTCAATCAGTCATTCATTCACCCACTCGTATGAAAAGTGTATTATTATTATTATTATTATTAGAATCAGTATTAGTATTATTATTATTAACATTAGATTGCATTTATTGATTTTAGTATTATAGTGTCTCCAATAATGATTCAATGTGTGAATGTATATATATTTAGATGTATATATTATACAATTTCAATTTTCCTATTATATTATAGTACACACACACACATATATATATATATATATATATAAAATGTAATTCACATAATGTTAGGCAATTGTTGTGTACAACACATTGTCTACTTATGTATTGACATTATTTAACACACAATAAAAAATGTGACTTACATTTTATATAATCAGTACCATCATATTATATGGCCATATATATATTGTTATATATATACAATATATTATATAAAGTATATATATATATATATATATACCGGTATTGTTATAATATTATTATTAGTATTATTACACATATCCTGTATTGTGACACTAAAAAATAAATTCAATAAAATTAGATTAGACACTAACAATATATTTCTGTAATATATTATAAATTATATATTTTTTCAACTTTAATTTTACTCATCAATACATTAATTTAAAAAAAAATATTTTTTTTAATTATTATTATTTTAGTTCACACACACAACATATAAATTATATTTTCTAGTAATATATATTAATATATATATATATATATATATATATATATATATATATATATATATATATATATATATATATATATATATTTAAATAATTTATATAATTTATAGTACAATACATAATATACATATTTTTAAAAATAGAAATTTTACTATAATATACTAAATGTTAATTTAAAAGTTATAACACATTATACATTATATTTAATATTATAAATTTTTAGACATAAATTTATTTATGAAAATTTAATTATTGATAAAAACAATTAAATTTTTAAAAATTATTTATAGACAACTTAAATAACTTTTTTTTAAATATTTTATTCTAAATATTTATTATCAAATAACAAAAAATAATACTATTATCATAAATAAACAAACAAATTAGTTTTATATAATAATTTTTAAAAAATAAATAAATAAATATTAACTATTAGATAAAGCACTTATTTATTTTTTAATACCAAAATAAACTATTAAACAAACAATTAATTTATATATAAAAAAATATTAATATTGTGTTTTTCTGTACTGTATTTTTAAAACAAAAAAATTATTTATTAATTTAAATAAATTGCTTGATTGGGGACTTGTATATCTTGGCCACCCCTAAACACTAGCCAAACACTACCGTCCAATCGGCCAAACTGTAGGTTAGGTGTGCCGTCAAACAGGCGCTTAGCCCTTAAACTGGTCGACCGTTTTAAGGCTATCACAGACCACGTGTTGTTATTGCCTTTACCATAGTTGAGGTCCAGTTTTTCTTTAAGCATTTTGGCTACTCTACCGTTTCTAGAGGGAGAGAGAGAGAGAGAGAGAGAGAGAGAGAGAGAGAGAGAGAGAGAGTAAGGATAGGTAGGTAGGTAGGTATGAGCCCAGCACAGACACCCACCCACCCACACATAAACAAACAAAAATAAATAATTGATAAATTATAATAGTTTTTTTTTAAAAATATCTAATAATTAATTAAAAATATTTTTCAACAATATTAAACACAAATATATTAAATAATATTTTTTAGTATATTATTTATATTTATCATTAAATTAAATTATAATATATTTTTAAACAAATAATTAAATTATTCTGATTTTTTAAATAATGATAATAATATGTGGTTATTTTTGTTTAAAATTTATATTGTTTAATTTAATTTAATAATTGATAAATTTTTAGTATTATTTTGAATAAACTAGTTATATATATCCTAAACAAAATACCTGTGCTTTTCACTCATATTTTCATAGGTAATAAAGTAGACGTTAGCCCAGTCCTCGATACGATCCAACTGTCCCTCACTGAGACGTTTAGCACTGTTAGCCTTATAGGAGGCCACTAGTAGATAGTGGCGCTTATTGTCCGACACAGACATCCAGACACCGTACAGACGTTTGGCCAAAATATCGTCGACACTTGAAGTAACGATAACCGAAAACCGATACTTTTCGCCACTGAACTGGTCGTCCAATTCCTGTTTGAGTAGTCGTGCCGTTTTACGACTACCGTAATCGTGGCTCAGAGTATCGTTGAGTACCCGACGACATCGGGCCACCTGATCGGCCAACATATTCGACTGATGTACGTCCAGATCGACCCGACGGACCCGATTGGGTTGGGCTCGCCGACGGCCCGCCAGTGATGATTGTTGTGTCTTATTTACAGCGCCGCCGGCGACGGCATCGCCCGATAGCAGCGATGTTACCACCGGAGCTGCGGTAGATGTAGTGGTATTGACGGCGACGGCACTGGTAGTAGTAGTAGTAGTGTTGACTACAGCAGCAGCCACTGTTGACCTGTTAATGATAGGTACAGTGGTTGTCGTGCTAACGGTGCTTATAATGTTATGGCTAACAGTGCTGCTACCGGTGCTGCTGTTGCTGTAATTACCAGTAATAGTATTATTATTATTATCATCAGTGATATTATAGACTAAATTGTTGCCTAAAATGTTTGTCTCATTAGTTAACGATACAATAGAGATAGTATTGTTGGCACTGTTGGTGTTGGTGTTAATTACTGATGGTTTCAATCTAACGGTGCTATTAATTGGCTGTCTTGTCATAGAAGTGGTAGTAGTAGTAGTAGTGTTGATGATTGAGATAATTGTGCTATAATTTGTATTATTATTATTATTATTAGTAGTAGTAGTAGTATTGTTGTTGATTGTATGATTAAATGCTTTAATATAATTGTCACCAAAATATATATATATAAATAATAAAAATAATTTTATTAATTATTTAAAAATATTAAATAAAGAAAATAATATATATATATATATATATTATGATAAAAATACAAATTAAAAATACTTACCTTTGATTATTAGTAGTAATTGTGTAAAACATATGAAATTTTTTAATAAAATATGCATATTTTATTTTATTTTTTTTAATTAAAATTAATTATTTTATAATTATAATAATTATTGTTTTTATTATTATTATTATTATTGAATATTATCCACAATTTTATAATAGTTATATATTAGTTTACAGTTAACTTTTTTTAAAATAAAATTACTTAATATACTGGTTATAAAATAAAATATATAATTTTATTGTAGGAAATGATGATTGAAAAACTGTTTGGGAAAAAACTTTAGTATTTTTACAGAAAATAAAAATTATTAATTAAAGTTTTTATTTCACTAAAAATACGAATAAAAATATTTTCGTCGATTTTAATCTCATATAAACTTTATTTTTGAAGTTTTTATTTTGCATTTAATACTATATACAGTAAAAGTATATACAGTATATTAAAAGTATATTTTTACCAAAAATAAAAAATAAATATAAGTATTGCAAATATATTTTATTCAACTAAAAAAAATTGATAATTTAATTGATATCAATCACTAAACACACTGTTTAGGTACTGTACTGTATGTATACACACTGTATATGATGTTGGCTCCGGTTTTATAAATATGATATTAATTATACTGTAGTTTTGTGTTATAATATACAGTAAATTTAAAAAAATAAATTTATTATTAATTAAAACATTTGATTAGCAATTTATGAGCAGTTTTTCTCAACTAATGGTTTTTGATTATTATTATTATTATTATTATTATTATTTTAAAATTAAAATAATGAGTATATCACTTAAATATTTTAAAGCTAACAATTTTTTTTACATAACTAATTACTAAGAAACTACATAAATATATATTAATATAAATTTATATATATATATACTGTATATATAAATTCAATTAATAATTATTATTTAATATTGAAAATAAAAAACTTTATTTCAATTTAAAATTACATATTAATGTTAGAAATGAAATTTATTTGTTTTTTATTTATTTTATTAAGTATATTAAATATTTATATAAATATATATATATTTTTTGTAAAAAAAAGAGTTAACTATTATATGTTAAATACAGTAACAATGAGAATATCTATATATGTATTTAAAAGGGATGTCCGGTAATTGTATGACAAGTACTTTAACCTAAAGATTAAAAAAAATTATATTAAATTTATATATTTATAAATATATATAATTTTTAAAAAAAAAATTATGTAAAAAACTTACATTATTAAACTATTATATTATTGTAAAAACATAATAACATGTATAATTATTTATTTGATAATTATATATATATATATATTAAGCATTTTTTTTATCTAAAATATTTAATTATTTATTATATTCAATATATAAAACAATTATATAAATAGTAAATATTTTTAATAATTTATAATTATAGCTTAATTTTAAGAATTTTTTTTAAAAAAATATAAATAACAAAATCAGACCCAAGTTTACGACAAAAAAAAATAAATAAAATAAAAAATATTTCTATCTATTTATAAGTGAAAAATTTTTTTTGTTGAGACGTTATTTATTTAATAATTTTTAGCTAAAAATATTATTTTGACATTGCAGCATTACGTTTTAATAAAAACAACATAGTAATAATAATAATAATAAAAATATATAAAATATAAACATGATAGAGTTTTGAATATTTAAAAATTTAAAAAAAAATTAAATGAATTAATTACAAACAATTAATATTTGTTTAAATAATAATAAAAATTTGCAATCTCATTTATATATATATATAAATATATTATATTATAATACATGCATATAATAAATTAATTTATTGAAATTTATAAAATGTTAAAATTAATTAAATAATTTAACATGTTCAAATTAAATGTTTTAAGTAACAAGAAAAAAAGTAATGTTATATTTTAGTATTGTTTATTATTATTAAATAATTGAAATAAATTTATTTTTCTAAAAAAAAAAATTATAAAATTTAAATTCAAGCATGCTAATTTATAATTTTTTTTTGTTTAATTTATTATAGTATCATAAATGGTAAAAACATTTCCAACAACAACAACAAAAACAATACAAACTAAAGCAATGACATCGACAACAACAACAATACCAACAACATTGTCAACAACAACAACACCGGCTGTGGCGGCGCCTCCGGTGGTCAATAGGACGGCCACAACAACAACAACACTGGCATCTAATGTATTGCTGAGTCCATCACAGGAGGACATCTATGTTGAAGGTACGGGAGGGGGTTATAGTTGACATTATTATGATGATGATAATTAAATTAGCTAGCTAACTAATCTATAGATTTATTTATAAATAGTTAAATCATTTTATTTTATTATTATTAGTCAAACTATACTATTAGATTTTTAAAAAAATATATAACTATACTAAAAATTTATCTAGCTTACTTTTTTAAAATTTATTATAACTATTAAAAAAATAAAAATATGATAACTAATTAAGCCACAAATATTTAGTGATTTTTGTTTAATAATTAGTTATTTAATTAAACTAATTTTTTAAAATTTACTAACTAGAAAATTTGTAGCTAGGTAAAATAATATACAGTAGTTTATTGCAAACTAATAGCACTATTATTATAAATTTTTTTGATAATTTAGTAACTAATATTACAATCGCTTTGTTTATTATTATTATTATTAATTACTGGTAATTATAAAAACTAATTTCTAACTATTATTTATTATCTAAGTTTTATATATACTGTATATAAAAATCAAATAATAATAACCCGTTTTTATTTTTATATTTTTTTGTTACCCGTTATCCGGCGGGTAATAATAACAGCTCTCAAGTCATACCAGAGGTCACGGCTTGAATACATTCGGCAGGAAATGTCGGAAATGCGCCAATACTTACAATCGTTGCGACAACAGGTACTGAAATTGGAGTCCCGACGGCGGCCGCCCTACGAATACGACGATCGCGATTGGTGGCAACGATTGGTCACATTGGGCGACGACAATACACGCTTGCGTATCGATTGTCACGTATTGGCCATCGAAGTCGATTTGTACGCTTCGGGACGACTCATACCACTGGGTGTTACCGACGAAGATTACTATAGGAATCTGCCGCCGCCCGGACCGAACAATCCACCGATAGTACCGCGACCACTAAGCGCCGGTAGTAGTATTGTTGGAAGTCAACAACACCAGCAGCAACAACAACAGTCCGATCATCGACAGCTGGTCTCACCATATCCTGTTCAGCAGCAAATGTTTGGCCATCCGATGATCCCTTACCACCACAACCAGCAACAACAGCAGCAGCCATACGGGCGGTTATACTATCCCCGTCTCGGACTGTATAACGTTAGTCACAGTGGTGTCGGCGGCGGTGGTGACCTATTAAATCAAGTACCGCCAGCACCGGCACCCGTTTGGCTCGGGTCGTATCGTGTGCGCCAACAGCAACCTATCGGCACCGGATCAACAACAACATCGCAAACAGCATCGGCGGCTGCACCGGCTCTGCCATTGCGCAGTCATAGCTATATGGAACTACCGCCACCACCGCCACAGTTACCGCCGCGACCGTCCCGATCGTCGTTAAGTGCACCGTCCAATCGGACACCACCAGCAGCAGCATCAACCGGTGCTGGTGGTGTTGTTTGTGATGAAGGTGCCCGTTGGGTGTGCGAAAAGTGTACAGTCGAAAATCATCCGGCACTGACCTACTGCGAGGTTTGCGAAATGCCTCGCAATACTATCGGTGCTACCAGTGCTGCTGCTGCTGCTGTCTGTGCTACCGGTGCTGGTGGTGGTGGTGGTCAAGTACCGGCTACTGCTGCTGTAGCGCATACTATCAGCGATAATAATAGTAGTACTGAACAGTGCTATTGTCGGGATTATTGTCAAATTAATAATAATTAGGATTATCGGGAGTTTACTGTATTTATTGACAATGATATCTATGAAGTTTTTTTTCTCAACCAAAAATATATAATAATTTTTTAGATTACATAATATTTTTGTTGTTATATTTTAATTATCTATTATTATTATTATTATTATATTTTTTTAAAAAAAATAACAGATAATTGAATTACTCATAATTAGTTGTATTTAAAATATCCATGATAATTTTTTTAAAAATTATTTTTATTGTATTTAATTAGTGTATTATTATTATTATTTTAATTAGAAACTCAAAAACAATACAAAAAATACTGAAATATACTTAAAACAAAAAAATATTGATTTAGAAATCTCTCTAAAAATTTTTTTTTTAATTTATTATTTACCTTGGTACACTAACTGTTTGTTTTAATTTTATTAGTGTACTATTAGTGTATTATTATTTTAAAAAATTATTTATACGACATTAAATACATATAATGTAATCTCAAATATACTATACTAATTAATTAATGATAATTATTATTAGTATTATTATTATTACTCAGATTATAATTTATACTGAAATTATAACTTTTATTTATAATTTGAAACTTTATTTTCTAAAAAAATTGTTTTTTTTAAATTTTGTACATAAGTTTATGTTTTATTATAATAACATATATGTTATTGTTATAAATTATTATGATAAATTTGTTACTTATTATTATTTTTATTATTTAAGTTTTAATCAATTATTGTATCAAAAATTGTTTAAAAATATTTTTTATTTTTTGTGTGTTTGTGTATAAAATATATTTTCTATTTATTTAATTTAATATTTATTTTGATTATATATTATTATTATTATTATTATTATTATATATAATCTAATCTACTATATATTATATAGTATATAACCCCTAAAATAATGTAACATAAAATTTAATTTAAAAATAAAATAAAAACTGTATTATTAACTATATTTGTTGACTTTTTTATTATATAATCTATGATTAATACAATTAGTTATATATTTTGCATTTTATGAAAAGATATATATTTATATGCAATTAATTAATCACATAATAATTAAGTTAAATTAATAAAAATATAAAATAATTTTTAATTAAAATTTAAAGTTTTAATAATACCTGTACATTATAAATTAGATACTTTATAAATACTAATACATTACATTATTATAGAAAATTATTAACATAAATAGTACTAAACAGTTAGGCTTTAATAAACTAAACAATTTGGTACTATTTTATGCTTCTAAAAAAGTATTGTTAACGTTATTTATAAACACAATATAAACAAAACAAAAAACATTAAATAAATTAATTGAATATTGAATGCCTGAGTGAGTGAGTGAGTCATAGTATTAGACTATAGAAACATTTATAGCTAATGAGTCACTGAGTTATTATGTATGGCTTAACACTACTAATACATAAAGTGTTTAGTGTGTGTTGAGTGTCATTGTCATCGACAACAACAACAACAACAACATTATAAGCACCGGTAGGTTATTATTAACCGTAACTCCCGGTGCTATCTAACCATATAGTACACCAAACACCTACACATACAGACACACAATGCCGGCCTATCACTCAAAACTGGTAGCCGACCGGCATGTGGCCAATATGGCAGTGTTGCCGTTTAGGACGAAATTTCGCGGACCGATTCAATGGCCACATCAACAAATACCCGCCGCCACTGCCGCCGCCGCTAACGGCGATACCAATGGTCATACAGTAGCACCGGTACAACCGCCAACTCAGCCGCCAATGGACATCATTGACGAAGCGCTACTCTATTTCAAGCCAAACGTTTTTTTCAAGACATTTGAAATACAGTCGGCCGCCGATCGGGTCCTAATCTATCTGACACTGTATATCACTGAATGTCTGAAACGATTGCAACGGTTGCAGTCGCGCGATCAGGGATTGGCCGAAATGTACGCACTGGCCATCAGCCGGTTTGATATACCCGGTAAGTGTATGTTGTATGATTGACCCGAACCGTCACTTATTAAAACCCTCCGATTTTTCTCTCCCTAAACAACAACAGGAGATCCAGGCTTTCCGTTGAACGCTGTCTACGCTAAGCCGTCATCGGCTGAGGAACAGGATCTCATGCGCCAGTATTTGCTGCAACTGCGCCAGGAGTGCGGCCTTCGAGTGGCCGACAAAGTATGGGATTGTGGCGGCGATTCGGGTCGACCATCCAAATGGTGGCTATGTTTTGCCAAAAAACGTTTTATGGATATATCGCTTGCGGGCGCCGGCAAGTGATGATCGCCCGACCGACCGATAGATAGATAGAGAGCAGCCATACATACAGTATATCAGATCTGTATAAATAATAAAGTCTTCCCTATTGAAGGCACACCACTACTCTTTATATATCAATAATAATAATAATAATAATTGAATGGACAGTCATATATAATTATCATCGGTTAATAACACACCCACACACACACACACACACACACCGATGCCGTTTAAAAACGTGTGTTGTGTGTATGTAAATGATTGCTTTATAATCTCAATTATGATATGATTTTTTTTTTTTTTAATTAGTTATTGTTGTCTAATAGTGTCTGTGTGTATGTGTTTAATGTATGAAAACAAATGTTAATTATTATTATTTCCTATAATTTTTTTTTGTTGAAAAATTTGATTTATTTAAATTATAATTTG